GGCGCACGCGCCCCGGCCGCGCTCAGGGGCGGGGCCCCGGTAATGGCGGCTCCGCCCCCGGGGGCGCTGTGGGAGGGTTTGCGTGGCGGCTGTGGCGGCACCGGCGGTGTGAGGCGCTTGTGGCTGTGTTAGAGCCACCAGGGTGGTTTGGCCCCGGGTGGTAGATGCTCGTGGTGGAAAGGAGCGATGGAAGTCAGAGGGCCTGCAAGCAATCAGAAAGTTGTATTACTATGTTGCACGCTTGGCTTGAGAATTGGTTTGTTAGTCCCTGACGTACTGTGAAAGCATACGGCAGTGCGTTTTGGATATAGGAGCAGGGGAAAGGAAAGAGAGAAAAGATGAATTAGAGGGGGTGAGGGCTCAGAGAGAGGAAAAGAAAATAAAGGAAAGGAATCTCAGAGAGAGGAAAAGAAAATTGAGAAAAGGAAAGGAAAGGGAAAGGGAAAGGGAAAGGAAGAGATGCTGCCCAGGCTTGGAGGGGGGTTACCTTTTCATGGACAGGTTTCTGTTTCTATGCAAATTAATTGTCATGCAGTCTGTTCTTTCACATCTTTTGGGAAATAGCTCAGAGAGCTTCAAGGAACTTCGATGGTCTTGATGTCCTCCCACAGCCCATGCCCACACCTTGCCCGCATTCCCGTGCTTGTGTGATAGTGTGTCGAGCTCATCTCAGGATCTACAGCAAGGCTGCTGTGGAAAAGTGCCGCCCTCCCTCTGCATGGCCCCCCGTCTCCAGCCGCATCTTGATCTTTCTCACAGACATTAACACCAGCAATCCTCGTCTGTTAGTGCAAACAGTCCTTGGTCGGCTCCATTGCTATCCAGCTATCGTTTTTTGAGACATACACATTATCCCGTCGTCTTCTGGAATTCTACGCCCTGTCATCCTGCTCAGCCTCCTGTCCTGCTGTGCTCGTGTGATGGCTGTCCAGACCCAAGCTTTCCTGCCGCTGATCTTCACAAGTGCTGTCTCTCAGCTGTACTTGTATCCTTGCTCTTCATCTACAGTCACTTGAGAGTGCAGATACAGAGATGCAGTTTGGCTTCTCCCACTTAGCATTTTTGTTGTCTCTAGTGACAGCCCATGTGGCTGTCAGCATGTTGCTCCTTGCCCTTTCTTCCTTTGGGTATCAATTCTCTCCTTGGGTTACTTCTGCATGGCTGCAGAGAAGTCCCACTGACTTCCATCTCCTTGATCACCTGCTGTTGGTCCCCCTTTATTTGTCTTACCTCCTTCCTTTCCGTGGGTTCTTGCCTTTCTCATTGCACACTGCGGTTCATCCCATATTAAAGAACACTGCTGACTCCATTTATTCCTTGACAATTACTGCAGCTCCCTTTTCTTGTCACTAAGATAAATGATTATGCTGTTCGCAGTTGTAGCCATTGTTTCACTCTCAGTCATGTCATAATACATTTCTCTCTCATTTGTCAAAATAGTTAATGATGGTATGGTATTAGTCCTAGAAAAATTGCACTGAACTGAGTAACTCTGTCCTCATTGCCTTTGACTAGTCATGGGTGAGGTGACCTCCAGCTCCAGGGTTTAAACAGGAATTACAGACTATTTTTGTCAGTGAAGACTTATTTTCCCCACATCTGCTCCAGTGTCTTTCATGTCTGTTACAGCCTTGCTGGGACAACTTACCAGAAACTTTCTTTAGGACTTAGCCTTGATCTTTGTCAGTGGTGAAAAATACAAAAAATACACTTAGCTTTGTTTTCCTCCTGCTTCTTAACTGTTTTGATCACAAAATGTGATCACAATCACATCACAAAATGTTTGGGGTTTTTTTCACATTATAGGCCCATTGAAATAACTTTAGTTTATTTATTTTGCTTTGAATGCGTCTTGAAAGAATTTTTCTTCAGCAACACTCCCTGCATGTACACACATGATAACTAATTAAAAGAAACAGGAAACTGATAACCTTTAAATTCCAGGAAGAAGAGTTTTTCATCCACTTCTGTGAAGCCGCACTGAGACAGCAGGGTTTGGCATGGGCCAGTCTGACCAGCAGACTGAAGCAGTTAATGGCTACATTAGAAAATTATTCATGGAGTTAAAGTTTCCAACCAAATGCTCTGCTGAAAACTCCCTCTCTTGTAGAATAAGTTGATTTCTACCTTAGACGCTCTGGTAACACATGGGGATTTCACTGGAGGCTATGCCTGGAAGCATACTTTAACTCCATGGTTCTCATTTTTCTCTTCTGAAGAAAAAAGAGCAACAAAAAGCCGCAGAAAACTAACAGTACATTACAAAGATATTGAAGGAGTTAATTAATTAGCAAATTGATTTGATATTTACTGAGTCTATTACTGTACTGGAATGTGAAGTATTATCTTTTTTTTTTTACCCCAGAACCTTGTAATCTGCTTGCTTGAGGGTACAGAAACATACACAGGTAGTAAATTAGTGACAGCTAACAAAGCAAGTCCTTCTTAAAAAGCTGCCACCGGTGTTCTCTTTTTCTTTTCTGCCTGGTTTGCTCAGAAAAGAGAAACGCTCTGATGGGAAAAAAACCCCAAGAAAGTAGTTGTTTCCTTGGGCTGCACTTGTGCAAATCTGACTATTGGAGAAGGATAGTCATGTCTGGAAAATTTTATCACCAATCTATCCATCATTACTATTCAGCCAGGTGCAGTTGCATCATGGTTTGTATTCCCAGGTGCAATTAAAAGGAGACGACAAATACAATTATTGAAATGTAATAAGTTCATTTACTGAAATGTAATAAGTTCACTTGTCCTCAGACTGACATCTCTAAATAAATATTTAAATAGATTCTCTGATTTTCTGCTGTCTCTTCTTTTGTGTTTGTGAAATAGTTTATTTTAATGTTCTAGAGTTCTGTGCTAGTTCTTACCATCCAGTTCTTAATTGTCTTGGAAACAACATGTTTTAAAAAACAGATACTGATTAAGATTCAGAAAAACAATAATCATTGAAGAAGCTGATTTGTCCTGCTTACAAACCAAGATAGTACTAATGATTATAGCTGAAGTAATATTTTCAAATTGTTAAAGTTACTTTAGCACTCTTCTATAAGGGATGATATGAATTTTGTTCAGTTAATATCTATCAGTCTATCTATCTATCTATGACACAAAAATGCATTTGCCTTTATCAGGTGCTGCAAGAGCAGAGGCCATACTAAGAACTTCTGTGAAGCATGGAACTCTGAAATTCATACATCCAGTGTTGTGATATCCCTACAAATATAACCTAAATGCAAAGTATCTTGTAACCTTATTGTTGTTGGTTGTTTGTCGTAAAATTAGCAGCTTGAGTCAAGGAGAGTATTTGGGTTTTTAAAACAGAAATGAATGGTACTTGAAAGATAAACAGGAATGAGTGAAGACTGCTGGAGGAAGCTGAAAACTAATAGTTTTTAAAATACATCTCTTTAGAAACACATCATTTGATGAGGGAATCCAAATGCAAGTATATAGTCAAGAGAGATTTTTCTGCTTTGTTGTACCTTGTACTGCTTAGTCAGCTCCCCATTTATTCTTCCTACTTGCTCTTGATGTTCAAGCCAAATTGCATAGTGATACAGCCATGGAAAGATTCAAGACTGCTCAGCAGTCTGAAAACAAATCTGCCCTCAAAGGAAGGTGATGTGCAGAGTGATCAATGTGTTCACTGATTCAAATGCCCAGATGCCAGTGAGTGCTGAAATCTTACCACAAATAGCAAAGAAAAGGAGTTTAAGCTACTGCAATCAGTCTGTTAAAGCTTGCTTTTCAGATAAGTGTACAGAAATTTGATGCCAATTTCATCCAATCTTATAAACATCTCTCTTTGCGCTGTTCAAGTATACAAAATGAGTGTTATCAGAAACTCATTAAGCTTTATAAATTACAAACTAATTTATTTTTGCAATCATAGAAGTAAAAAAACTAACTAAATGGAAGTTTGGTTTGCATTATGATATGTATTCTGGTTTTAGTATATGTGTGACAAAAATGGCCATTAGAAATAGGTTTCTTTCCCCATGCCCCTCTCATTTTACATGGTTACCTTTGTCCCATGACAACAGATAAATTAAATAGGTATGGTGAAAGAAAATCTCCCCTTCCATATATTTACACCTAATTAGACATAAGTAAATCAGCTTTTTAATAAAATTAAGATTTACACAATAGCAAAACCAGTCAAAAATAGACATGAATAAAAGTGTTCAGGACAGGCATTAGACTATACCTCAAACCTCACACTGGACAGTTATTAGCCCCTGTTCTCTCCACATCTTTAGTTACTGGAACACTACTAATTTTCAAAACAGTCTTTCTTTGATGTTCTTTTAAATTTCTGAAGTAAAACTTAACTGCAGGCCATTTTTTTAGTCTAGATGATTTCCATTCACAATGAATGGATCATGTTTACTACTCTTAGCCTCTAGGTAGGGTTAGTGTCATTCTGGATGTTGTCCCCATGCAGAGCCAACATCCTTGGACACGTCCTGAGCTGTCTCCTAGTCTATGTGAGTTGTTATATATGCCTTCACAGTATAGAACAGTGAGTACCTTGGCAAAAGTCAGCATTACTAATTCTAATTATTACTGTTTCACAGGTTGATTCCCTCTCAATCTAAATAATTGAATTCAGGCCTACTTTAAAATAATATTTCTCTCCTTATAGCCAAGAAACCATGAATAACAGAAAATTGCTCACTGTAAAAAAAGTAGGTATAGTCAGTATGGTAATAAAGCAGTAAATATAAAAAATGGGATACATTTGCAAAAATGAAAAAAGAAAAGCAGTGAGCTCAGTTTTAGACTATGGAATATTGTCTTTCAGTAGAAGTAGGGAGAGCCTTGCTTATTAAGAAAGTTAAAACTAGATGGAAGCAAAGCTCTAGATAAGGGAAGCAATCCTCTCCTGGCAGGGAAATACGTGATTAGCTGCTCTGTCCATTGCCAACAGCTGTGGCTGCCAAATACAAGCAACTCATACCT